TTACATCAAACACCCTCATTATATTTGACAATGGGATGTGCGCCAGGCGATTCCCTGAGCTGAACGGGGGCTATAAAGTCTAGCAGGTTCAAACAATTTAGTCTTTATGGATATGCAACAAGGGCCATGGGCCACCCTTCTTGTTTTATGCAGAGATTGTTGACTTAAGGGGTAAGAAGGGGAAATTCATGAACTTTGCCTTACAGCTCACGGCAGATTGCGTGAGCGTCAAAGCCATGGATTGGAACAGTTTCACCTGTCAATCATCCCAATCATCAACCTGCCTTGGATTGTCAGTTCCCTCAGTATGCGCAGTATTTTAATCATTACGAAACTGGATGCATTTTTCTGAGGTGTAAAAAATTGGGAAAGTACTGGCTCATTGTACAGTTAATACTACTGGCAACCATATCCACCCCAATGTTGAATTGATTCGCTCTCATCTGAAGCGACTCTATTTTTGGTTTACAAGTATCTTATACCATTTACATAAAAGCCCATATTGATCCTAATTCAAGCTATATGACTGCAATTGATGCGAACCATTGCTAGCGGTTAAACAAACTATTAACATGCAAATCAGTGTAACAACTCAACAGCCTGTTGTCATACCTGGGCAAGGAAACACACACACACACACACACACACACACACAAGAGCCATACTTGATAAGATATACTCTGTTACTATGGCAACATCTGTGGCTCAAGCTAAGAATGCAGAGGTCTGTACTATTGTCATTGCTGAACGTGATTTTCACATATTTATCTGCACAGTGTCATTAACAGATAAAGATTGCTCGATTTTTTTGTGCACAAGTTTCACTTGACGTGTTAGTTTTCAAAATCACTTCCCTGTGCAATTACAAAGTCTTCAGTAAGACAACAATCCTTTTTGTGGCATTTAGTGCCTAATCTAGGTTGATATGCATATTGTGTGCCAGTTATAATCACGCCCTTCACTTAGGTCTTGTTTGTTCATTTTATCCTCTCAGTATGTTCAATGGCCACTTGAGTCGTATTATTAGCACATACTTGCTTTTTCATTGTTTGTTCACACAATTTCACAGAGGGAAAAACAACCTTTAAGTGTTTGCAGTGAATTCAAAATCTGAACAGAATTATGGTTGATTTCAAATATATATATTTTTATATTTCTTTGACTTATATTCAGATTTTTAATGGCTTACTAGCTGTCTCAGTCTCTGTATATCTGTATATCTTTTGGCTGGCCTATTTTTTTTTAAATATTTTAACAATATATTTATATTTTGCATTTATATTTAATTTTATTTATTAAGTATAATGAATTGTCCTCCTGCAATAAATGTAATTATGACAATGAATAATACAGTTATGTTGATTATATATATTAGCACACAATAAGTAGTTGATTGTAGTTAATTGATTTGATATGCAACAGCACTTCTGTGGTTGTGGTACATGCAGTTGTTTGCCCCCTTTGAGAAGCTCTATCTGTTGCTGTACCCTGTTGATAGTATTCTTGTAATACAGGATGTGAGTAATGCATATTGTTTGCAGGTGTATTGATTTCCATTTGACTTTAATAGAATTGCACTTATTATTATTATTATTATTATGCGGACCATACCATTGCACAAATACATAATCAAGTTTAGTGTAGCTAAGAGATTTCATTCTAATTTCTTGCTTTGCTTCAATACTGCACGTCTCCAATGTCTCAGTGTTTAAATTACAGTGGAAAAACGACACATTTCAGGCACATGCTAACGTTGCTAAGCAAACAGAAGCTAATAATATCCTCAGTAAGCATTTACTGCTAAAAAGCTATGGAAAAGCACAGCACATCATGAATGGAATCCATCAAAATACAAAAGTAGATGACAGGCTAGTAGTTAGCCCATAGTGTGGTTGTCACTTTTTGAAATGGCTGAATTAAAAAGACTGTAGAGAGAATGTGTGTGTGCATGTGCATGTGTGTGTGCGAGTGTTGTGTGTGTGTATGGAAGGGTTAGGGGGAAAACCCTTCCTTTAATTGAGCTGTGCTGAGGATGACAGTGTTTTATCTGCAGCAGGTGTTTAGGAATTACTGGTCTCATTAAAGGCTATTCGAGGACACCGGAATGCACACGGCTCTGTAATATTCCCCTGCAGATAACAAGATAGAACATTGTTATCTGTACGGGAGCAGATGAAGGTCTGATGAAACTCCTGGTGCTGTAAGTCATGTCTGCTACGACATGCAGTATTCATAGTGGGACCAAACTGTAGTGGCTTTGGTTGAAGTAGTATTTGTAGTGCTGACAGATAGATAGATAGATAGATAGATAGATAGATCTACTTAGTTGTCTTCTAAGAGACAACTAAGTCACTCATTTCAACCACGGCTTGATTTTACATTTTGCATTTATATTTCATTTTTTATTTATGAAGTATAAGGAATTGTTTTCCTGCAATAAATATAATAGAATGTCAATCAATAATACAATTGTGATGATTATATAAATTAGCACACAATATTGAAGTAGTTGTACTCTATGTACATTCATATTTATTTTTGTCATGATTTCAGTGATATGCAACAGCACTTTTGTGCTTGTAGTGCATGCAGTTGTTTGCCCCCTTTGAGAAGCTCTATCTTTTGCTGTCCCCTGTTGATAGTATTCTTGTAATACAGGATGTGAGTAATGCATATTGTTTGCAGGTGTATTGATTTCCATTTGACTTTAATAGAATTGCACTTATTATTATTATTATTATTATGCGGACCATACCATTGCACAAATACATAATCAAGTTTAGTGTAGCTAAGAGATTTCATTCTAATTTCTTGCTTTGCTTCAATACTGCACGTCTCCAATGTCTCAGTGTTTAAATTACAGTGGAAAAACGACACATTTCAGGCACATGCTAACGTTGCTAAGCAAACAGAAGCTAATAATATCCTCAGTAAGCATTTACTGCTAAAAAGCTATGGAAAAGCACAGCACATCATGAATGGAATCCATCAAAATACAAAAGTAGATGACAGGCTAGTAGTTAGCCCATAGTGTGGTTGTCACTTTTTGAAATGGCTGAATTAAAAAGACTGTAGAGAGAATGTGTGTGTGCATGTGCATGTGTGTGTGCGAGTGTTGTGTGTGTGTATGGAAGGGTTAGGGGGAAAACCCTTCCTTTAATTGAGCTGTGCTGAGGATGACAGTGTTTTATCTGCAGCAGGTGTTTAGGAATTACTGGTCTCATTAAAGGCTATTCGAGGACACCGGAATGCACACGGCTCTGTAATATTCCCCTGCAGATAACAAGATAGAACATTGTTATCTGTACGGGAGCAGATGAAGGTCTGATGAAACTCCTGGTGCTGTAAGTCATGTCTGCTACGACATGCAGTATTCATAGTGGGACCAAACTGTAGTGGCTTTGGTTGAAGTAGTATTTGTAGTGCTGATAGATAGATAGATAGATAGATCTACTTAGTTGTCTTCTAAGAGACAACTAAGTCACTCATTTCAACCACGGCTTGTACTAAACACTGCTGAACTTATACTACACTGATATACAACCTAGAGGATATAGAAAAAGATAAAATTTCACTGCAGCTTACACATTAACCCCTATTATAATGTTCACATTATTTTGTCCAGTCCCTGTAGATAGATTTTCATTGCGGTACCTCGTGCATATTTACAATACAACCACAAGATGGCGCTAATGTCTTACTGCAATGATGTCCTCCGAGTCTCCGCACTTGTTTCAGGGTTTAGACTGAAAGGTTGCTTCTCAATCTCTGCACTGCGCTTGTTGCACATTCGATCAGCTGTTTAACACCGCCAAATAACAAAACCTCTGGACAACAGACCAATGCTAAAATCATTATTTATTTCCACCACAAATTAGCCAGGTTTGACGCATGATTTTTTTTTATCCAGATACACTAACACAATTATTAAGCCTACAAGATCTGATCAATGAGTAGCCTACTTGCTTCACATTAGAGCTCGTTTTTCCTTTAGACTTAAGTTACTCAGATAGAAATGTCTCTGTTCAGTTTAGAAGATTTTTTCCTTTAAGAAAAAGAGAAAGATGCGCGATCAACTTAATACAAATTATATAATATAATATTTAAATAAGGTAATATTTTACAGAACATTTTAAGAAATTGCTTTGACTTTAGTATAGGGCTGCACGATAAATCGCATGCGATATTTAACGCGCATCTTGTCAGAAAGCCGGTTCTGTAATCAGCGGTAAATCTCCATCACGTGAGGGCTTTCACATTGAGCAGCATTAACTACACAGAGCCGTTGTTCAC